AATATTCAGAATTACTCATTAATTACTTCAATAAATAACGAATATTTTGCTCTACAGAGTAATTCATCCATTTAAACTTTAAGTAGTGATTTAAGATATCTATTTTATTTTAATTATACAAATCTTACATTTAGTTAGTGCATAAATTCAACATCCTATATTTACTAATTATATTCAATTTGTTAAAATAGTACTTCATAATACTTACTTAACTTTACATTAGATTCTTAAGGCTTTATAGTAAATCTAAATACAATTTAACTTCCTTAAACTTTTTCAAATATTTCCAAAATGAGGAGCATTTTAAACTAAATATTTATCTTAGGTACCTTAAATTAGATGTAAGAATTGTATTGGTTTAATTAATCTAACAACATGTTATAAAATATATCTTATAATTTAGGATGTAATGATTTCTCTATTGAATAAATACAACAGTCACAATAAATAATGATTTTCTAGGTTTGGGGCTTTAATATAAATTATTCAATTATTTTAATTTAAGATGAAGAAATTAAATTACAAGATTCTTATCCAGTTGAAATTTATTATTGCGATTAATAAACAATTTGTTATTAGAATTAATTTAGTACTTATTTATAGATTCTAATCATATAAATATAATAAAATAGTGCAATAATACTTTTGAGTGATACTAATATTAGCTTAATTATTTAAATAAGATTTATAAAATACTTTGTATAAAGTAACAATATTTAAGAAGGCAAAATTATAAGTACCATCCCGAATTACATAAATAAAAATAATACTGATAATTCTTTTTATTAGAATGGAATTTTAATGCAATAATTTCCATTGTAAGATTAATAAAATTAAAGTTAATTTATAGTTGGAGTTTATTATTTAAATAATCTTATTGATCAAAATTTAACGGAACCCATTTTGATTCAAGGCTCATTTAATACGACAAACAGGAATTATGCAATGATTGTAAATTAATAATATCAAAATGGAACATCCCTTTATATTTCTAACGAATCGATATATAATTACCCAATAAGTACTTGGAATTTAAATTGTATTGCTTATACTAATAATCAGTCAATGTACATTCAAATATTCTGTTAGAACCAATTTTCAAATGGTATTTATGATATTATATTTTATCTTCCTCCGAAATTTCATTTTAATTTTAGTTCATCAGCATATGCTCTGTTTTCTATAATTATTTTACTGATAATATTTTTTTACATCAGATTTATATACAAGACAAGAAATTTAGGGTATATTAATGCAGAAATTGAATTATGATAATATAAATTTGCATATTCATTAAAAACCATAATCATTAATTAATTGTTCCAGGTCTTATGGTAAAGATTGTTTAAGAATGATCTTATCTCTTACCTAATGCATACAAGCTCATAATTTGCTTATCAAAATATTCAAAAAAAGAAATAATTTTTGAGATAATTCTTATTTTGCTCCTTTATATGTGAATTGTATAGGTAAACTAAAAATGTCAAAAAATATTTCAAATTTTGAATAATCAAAAATGCTTATGTGTTGAATTATTATAGATGGATGAATAAAAGAATAATCAATACATAAAGTATAAATGATATAAGCAATTATTATTAATTAATAAGTATAAAATAAATTTATTATATTTAACATAATATTAAAGATTATATTATTAATATAATATGGGGGATTCATTAGAGTCTCCATCTTAAAAGCATATAAAATAAGGAAAAGGACCCAAGAATTCAGTTCATTTTTAGGATATCAGTTAAATAAACAAGAAGGATCGAAGTAAAATAATGTAAAATGAGACTGACAAATTTAAGTACTTATTCTAAATTCCAAATATCATTTCTGATCCTAAGTTAGTATAGAGAAGAAAGACATTTGAGACGTTTACAAAAAATGCTAACTTAGATTTATATTATATGCACTTGAAGAAGGCATCAGGAATAGCAAGGAGTATATCATAAAAGGCTGACTATAAAGAAGTGATAGCAAAAATACACAATAATAAGATGTAAGATTAGTTTGTACATAAATTACACAAGAACAAAGGATTAATATTAACAAATGAGTTATGGTCAAATAAATTATTAAGTTAAGTATCTGATCAATCTAGACTGAAAGAGTTATCATAAATGTTATAACTCTAGAAGATTAAATTAAATTCAGAAGAATAATTATAGAACTATGAGTAATACTTTAAGCAGTTTGTTAAATCTAAATGCTAAAATGAAATGGAAATAAAAAGAGGAGAGGTGTCTAAAGCATTTAATGATCTAGATGATTAAGTTACATTAGATTAGACTTACAAGGATAGTCGTGTATTATCTACAAATCAAAGTGTTCCAATGAAATAGACAGATCAAAGTTTTTTTTCTAGGGAAATAATGACAGCATAGATGAGTAAGAAGAGAGTTGTAAATTCTTAACATAGTACAATCAAATTAGCTGAATTACTTAAATAATCAAATGATGAAGTGCATTCAACTTAGGAGGTTGTAATAAAATTGAGGAGATTTACAAAGGAGGAAGCAGATTTATAAGATAAGCCTAAGAAGATTAGAATAAGGAGATTGTTTGCTGAGCAACTCAATAATGTAATAAAGAATTCAAAGAAAATAAATTGATTTTATAGTTCATATTATGATAATAATTTAGTGTATACTATTCATAGATAGAGTGAATAGAATTGATAAATGTTTAAATATATGCATCATGAATAAAAGTCTATAATAATTCCTAAGAACCAAACAAATTACAATCCATAATATACTAGCCAGAGACTATCTTTATGATTGTTTAAATTTTGAAATTTGTCATAAATACACAAATGCAATATAGCCAAGGGGACAAAGGTTAGCCAAGCAAGTATAGCTGAAAATACACTGCTTTAAATAGTTGACATACTTAGTAAACCTAAAAAAAGATTTATATATGATTAACAAACCTGCAATTCCAAAGAGGAATACTCTTCTATTGACATATTCTTTTTATTCTGGACCTTTGAAGAATGCATTAATAAGGAGAGTAACATAATGGAATAGGAATAAGATCAAGATGGCCACTGCAACTGCCATTCTTTTAGGAATAAATTCAGTCGTCTCTGTGCTCATTAATAATAATAATCATTCAAGTTTTTAAAGAGGTCTTAAATTATTCCAGGGATGTGATTATTCCAGATTTTATAAAACTGATTTTTATCAATGAGTTTCAGTCTATTAATTGGATGCATAACAATTTGATCTACTTCATTCTCAATTTATGATATCATCATACGTTTCCCTTTAGAAGTTCTTTTGTTGTTTATTACAATGGTTCTAAGTTTAGGTAGTCCAGATGATTCACTCTTATCTATTTATGACTTAAGTAGACTGGCTCTAAGTTTAATCATAGTTAAAATGTCATTTTCTATAATTGATGTATTTTTTTCTACTGAAAGTATGGAGAGCAAGTTTGTACTTGTAATTACACCTTATCCTTATAAATCATACATCTAAAAGCATAAATTTAAGTATTGTTATCTATCCAATTGTTACAAGTAAGTTACAAGTTATTCATACATCTACAGTGTCAATGTATCTGGCACCTTTAAAACTTTATTTATTTGTTCAACAATAATCTGACTGTAAAATTCTCTTAGATATCTTAATAGTTATCCTCGTTGCATTCGATGTCCAACACGATCAAGATTGATGATGCGATTGAAAGTATTAACAACAACTACTCTCTAATTTATGATCTTTAATCTTTGTGAATGGAAATCTTCTATTGTAGAATCTTTGGGTCTCATTACTACATCAATAGTTTCTGATCTATTTTATTGTCTCTCGATATTTTGCTTAGTTCTTTCCATTGATTTAGATATTCTATCAGAACTCTAGGGAGACTTCTTTTTGATGTTTTAAGGATGGACACGAGAGTACTGCTGTATAAGAGTGGCTTGAAACACTTAAATTTATATCAATACCATAGAGATTATGGCGAAATGCATTACTTGTTATATACTCAATTTAATTCATTAATCCTATCAAGTACTTTCTGCTTCTAATTTAAACATAATAATTTATAATCTTTTATGCATTTGAATTCTCTTCCAAAGCTACAGTAATTCATCTTAAAGATTATCTTATAATAGGAACATTTTAACTAATTAATTTCAATATGCATAATCTCTCTTATTTTTTCTATAGTTTAATACACTTTCCCACATTCTTAAATTGAAATTTTTAATGTTAGAAACAATTCAGAAATNTTCCAAAATGAGCAGCATTTTAAACTAAATTTTTATCTTAGGTAATTAGAAAGAATAATTATAATAATTGTATTGGTTTAATTAATCTAACAGGACCTTATAAGTAATAATAAATTATTGTCAAGATTTCTCTATTGCATAAATACCTAAAGTTGAAGATAATTAATAAGAATCAATAATTATTTTCTTTATTTATTATTAGTAATTAGAATATAAAATTATATCAATTGTTGATGATATACACATATTTCATCAAGCTGTTATTCTTTAGATAAATATTATTGACTCATCATATTATCTTTAATAGTATTATTATTTTTAGATTCTAATTTTATAAATCTATTCTAAAAAAGCAATTGTACTTGTGAGTGATAAATATTTAAGCTACATCATTTATCTTAGAATTCAATCTTTAAGTTAAAAACTTTAGATTGGCACAATTTTTGGAACAATTCCAAATTATGGTAATTTAACTATTGCTGCTAATTCATTTTATTAGAATGGAGTTTTGATGTAACAATTTAATGATCAAGGTTAATTTATCGTTGGAGTTTATTATTTAAATAATCTTTTTGATCAAAATTTAATGGAACCCATTTTGATGTAAAGTTCATTTAATACTACAAACAGGAATTATGCAATGATTGTAAATTAATAATATCAAATTGGAACATCCCTTTATATTTCTAAAGAATCGATATAAAATTACCCAATAAGTAATTGGAATTTAAATTGTATTTCTTTTACTAATAATTAATCGATGAACATTCAATTATTCTGTTAGAACCAATTTTCAAATGGTATTTATGATATTACATTTCATCTTCCTCCAAAATTTCATTTTTATTTCAGTTCATCAGCATATGCTCTGTTTTCTATAATTATTTTACTGATAATATTTTTTTACATCAGATTTATATACAAGACAAGAAATATAGGGTATATTAATGCAGAAATTGAATTGTGATAATATAAAATTTTTATATTCATTTAAATCATAATAATTAAAATGCATAAGAAATTCCATAAGCACTACTTAAGGTATTCAATAAAGAAAAATCGTCAAAATTCTAATGATATTTAAGAAACAATATCAAAACTCTTATAAAATGAAAATAACGATTTATAATCAATCTATAAAAAATAATATATATATATGATATATCATTAAAATGCAATTAATATAATGATTTTTCATTATATAACGCCATTTCTTAATTCTATTTTAATTCAAGAAAAATTTCTTAAATTTAATTTTTATTTCAAATGAAAGCATATGCTATTTAGATTGACATGCTATTCTTTACATGAATAACTTATATCCTTTTAAATAATAATCACTCATTCATTAATTGTAATACCATACTTATTAAATAATATAATAATAATATCAAATAATCTAGAAATTACAACATTCTGATTATTTATGTTCTCAAGTTAACCAAAGAATTTTGAATAAGAAAATCCAATGAAGTCATGTAGTTGTTTTAAAATGTCAATAACAAAGATTTAAGTATCTATGATTCAAAAGAAATATTACATGAATAAATTAACAAAGTAAACTTATTTTTTTTTCCTATATCTGAAGTGAATTTTGAAGCTTCTCCTATAGTTTACTTATATTTTATCTCATTTTTAATACCTTATTATTGATAGACATAATAATAAAAGTTTCTACTGCTTTGGAAACTGATTTTTTATATGGTTATTTTTACCTTAAACGACTAATAACCAGCATCTGGAAACTTTAAATTTAAGAAAAGAATTAAATTAAAACAAATGGAGAATTAAAAACTTCTAATTCTGGAGAAATAATATAATGAAAGAAGAAGGATTGAAAGAAACATATATATGATTTAGAATGAATTGATTTTGTGTTTTTGTAATATTATTATAATTATTTAACGATTTAGTTACTACTCAAAATCAAAATATAATGTAAAATTTTAGCTTACATTTGAACTTCAAAAAATGGAAATGAAATTTTAATTAACAATTACTAGATTTATAAATGAGACTTGATATCGAAAAAGAATTAAACTCAAAAAGTAAAAAGATATATTTCTGAATATTATTCAAATTTGTTCTTTGATTTTTGTGAGATAATAGAACAAAACTTTTTGTTAATGTAAAAAAAATGAAAAGTAGCATAAGCCCACACACCAAAAATCATAGCAGGAAATCTAAATGGAGAGCTAATATAGCCTAAATATTAGATAATGTAAAGAGAAATACTTAGTTAATTGGAATGTTAAGTCTAACATAAAATTCATTTTATTCATATTTAACACTAGAAAAAATAATGAGACTATCATGATCAAACCAATATGTATTTTAAAAAAGAATTCCCCATTAAGTTTTAAAAATTCTTTTTTTAAACAAGAAATCAAGAAAAACAATTAGCTTAGCTTAAAAAGAGATGTTAATCAAACATAAAGGAAGAAGTCAATAATGAAAAAATAAAGTTTCAAGGTATATGATCAAATAAACAGAATAAATTTAGAAATTATAATGGTGATACTTTAAAAGAAAGATAAGGATAAGGAATTTATTAAAAAAATTTATTTCAGAAAAGTTGAAATTTTTAAGAATGAAGTATAGTTTAAAATTTGAAGACAACTTCTTTTGTTCCATTTAAAAAGATTAATCGATATCAAAGAAGAAAAGTGTAAAACACTGTAAGAAATCATAAAGATTAATAACATAAAGACATTTTAATTTTTAATAAACAAAAAAAAATGTAGATAATTTAATGGTTTATAATTAAATAAAAATGTTAATATGGACATCAAATAAATTTAATTGGTAATTTTTAGCAATTTCTAAAATTTTTATTACAAAATATTTTGTATTTTATATTTCCTTAAAAATCTCTTTAAATTCTCTATGAGTTTGCCTTAAGATAAACAGAATCATATAGTATATATTACAGAAACTCTTGTCCCGCTAAAAATGAGAAGAAATGTAAATCACAAGAGATTACAATAAAATTGCATATCGCCCAAATTGTATCACTACAATAGCTCACCTTTGTGCGAAAACTTCCAGATGTTCTCAAAAAATAAAAAAAACTTGAAAATAAAATTGTAATCCATGATTATAAAATATTTAGATACCACTCAAACTTGGAAAATTTAGATTATATACTCCAAACCTTTTAAGATAAGAATCTAAAAATATATATTAATAAAATAAGATGTAATTTAGTAAAAAAAGAATATGAAAATAAAAATAAAATTAAAGAGAATAGATCGTGAAGATTAATATTATTTTTCGCATAATAATAAATAAAAATATAAAAATCTTATCTATAATTAGAGATTTTATTGATAATTAATAGATTTTTATAAATTAAATTAATTTAGACTTAAAGATTCTGATGTAGCTATACAATATAGTAATGAAAATACTATAGAATTTATAGATTAAATTTTTCAAAAATTATTACTATTTATTTAATATTAAGATAAAAATAATTTTATTAAGGAAATGAATTATATAATATTAATACTAATAGAAGAACTTTAATTAAATATAGTTATTTTACATCAAATATAAATTACATAATATTTTTGGATAACAATTTAATAATATGTATTATTTGCAATAATAATCAAATTAATTCAATATAATATTGTATAAAATAAAATAAAATATATTAAAATCAAATGATTATCATACTCTTATTAATCAAAGTGATCTGTATATTTCCTAATACTTAATCCAAAAAAGATTAATAAATTTCTTTATACCCAACTGTAGGAGAATTTTATGAATACTATTTAGAGAGTTTGTTAAAAGAATCTTAATTAATTTGCAAAATGCATCCTTAAATTCCAAATGTGTAATTAATCAATTAATGTGAAGAAATATACTAAATTTAAGGGAATTGTAAGTGATTAAGATTATTATTATAGAATTTATTTCAATGTCGTCAAATAATACACATTTTAGTACATTATCTAATAATAATGAAATAATTATATATGAATGGAAGAATTAAATGATTCAATAAGTTGGAGTATCTGTATTAATTGATCCTTTATATAATTGTTTTAATATAAATTTGTTTTTAAATTAGAAAATTTTGGTGGATTGCTATTATAACAATGAATTATTATTAATTCAAATAATAGATTCTTAATCAATAATTGCTTATTAAATATAATCAAATTTACCTACTTCAACTAAAATATAATCAATTGTAAATGGAACAAATATATTTATTGTATATGCCTAATATTTTAAGAAATATTCAATACTTACACTATTTTCATCATCATTTAAAAATTTAAGTATCTTAAATAACTAATTTATCGATTTTGATATACCAATCACAATAAGTCCAAATATTTATGCAATTACTTTCCAAAACATTCTCTAATTATCCATATCTTAAGATTATTAATTTAATTTGATTTATAATTTTAGCTATGATGGTATGAGTAATTTTAAAACTATTAATGTTTTTTATAATTTATGGAGTTATTCTTAATGTGATTAAATATATTTATTATGCCAAAAATGGTTCAATACCTAATCAGAATTTACAGTAGTTGAATTATTGGGATGTGAAAGGTAAATAATCTTCTAAAATCATACTTGCCCAATTAACAATTGTTAGTCTATTCAGAAGATACTCTAAAATGCTTAATTTATAATCTATTAATCAATTTATGGAATGGCTATTTTTTAAAAGGAAAAAACGTATTCATATTACTTTTATTAAAAAAATCAAAGTAATTAACTATTATATTTCAATAACGATAATGAGTTATTTTAATTTGATAAAGAAATTTTTGTTTATTAAATTTCTTAACCATCCATATAAATCAACTTGACCAAATTTGAAACTCCAGAAAATTCATCCTAATTTACTTTAAAGTGTTTCAATTATAATTAAATGTATAATTTTAGTTTAATTAATATATATCTTTAAATACTATCTAAGTAAGATACTAATATTTATGTAGTGTCTAATAATGGGTTTAATAATTTACAATTTTTATAAAGTTCTTTTCAAATATTTGGTTTTTCTGGTTATTCAGGTTAATTATTAAATTATACTTTAAATAAAA